AACAAATTTTGCTTCCAAGACCCAGAAATGTTTCTGACGTACGGCAGACAAGACGCACGAAAACAATGTTTCCCAATGCCGGTTTCCTCGTTTAGCCACGAAAGTCAACATTCTAAAAGTTCGTTAATTACTTAGCAACGCTAGCTCTATCCTTAAAGTGCGCATGCGCTAACCGATATTGAGCAAACATGTTTCCCACAGTTTTGCCACCTTTGGAAACATTTAAGGAAACATGTTTCCTCGTTTAGCCAGTTTAGTCACATAAATAATATATTTATAGACAAGGAAAAATCACTGGGCCACGGCATAAACTTAGCTCCTTACTTGATGGATGAGTGAATGATAATAAAGGACGCACTTATATAATAAATAATATGTTATTTTTTAACATTACCAGTTCACGATCTTTCATCTCTTTCAGCTCCTCCTCATCATATTCATTATAACCACCAATATCAAACACTTGCTTCGCTGTTTTTATCTTACTTTTACCCTTTTTCTTCTTTATGCTGGCTTGCATCCAATACCTGATGTAACCATGCTTCGCCTCGTAGGAAGGCGGTAGATCTATACGAGGGATTGTGTAGCGAAAACAGAAGGAATATACGCTTGGTTTAAGCACAGATAGAGACGGATTTTGGCCCTTCATTTTATCTGAAAGGAATTAAAAAGAGGTATATTTATTGAGTTCCACTTTTATTGACTTACCAGTTGTGGAATAGCCCATTCATTCGATCGGCAACAAAATCTGCGTTTTTACTCAACTAGCTTTTCATTACAAGCTTTGCTTTTTTATATATTTAAAAGTCAAACAGGAGTGAGGTCACGAGTCAAGAAGGCATATTCACTTGCATAGACGACCCCCAAAAGGGAACCTTTCATCATGTCTCCCAAGGCTTTAACAAACGGTGTACGTTATATAGATTCGACTAAGCTCTTTTAGATGACCATGGTATCTCGCCCAAAGCGTCGGCCTCTCAGCATGAAGTTATCTAAAGATGTCATATTAGGGACCTTAAGCTGCAGAACGGCAACGCAGGCGACAACGTCGGCGAAATTGCGGCGCTTCAACCTTCTATTGTATTATTATTTCATGTTTAACTAATATTTCACTCAATAAGCACCCCCGTTTTAGAGTAAAATGACGTCTTTTGGGATCCCTTCACTTAAAAAGAAAATCAGCAAAGATAAGCTTTTGGCATAGCCGTTCTCTTTAGTACGTATTTCACGTCTTACTTTCAGCATAAGACGGCAATGATGCACAGTGTTTCGTACATCCCAACGAGTATCTATTGAATACACTGTAGCGCAATTAGTGCTATTGTGTGCTTGCCGTCGTCGTCGTCGTTGCCGTCCTGCAGYTTAAGGTCGCTATTAACTCCCATAGGCGACCCCAAAGAGGGCCGGAATCTTACTAAAACCTTCGGCCACCACATGAAGGCATCTCAAAGATGTCCTCGGTGCCAAGTAAGTTTTTGATTTCTTTTGGTCTAGATGACACCGRCGAAAGAATACCCCACTCTGTGCATTCATACTTACAATTGTATACCTATCCATTTAAATCTGTCTCACTGTATGTGTAATAGTAAAAGTGCGACGATACGATTCCTATATCACGAAAAAAAACGTTGTCGGGTTCGACAAGGTCATATCATCGAAATTAAGACCGAAAAGGATTTTGGGTACTCCGAAATGTGTATTATATTTGCATATAGATATGTAAAAATGCACAGTAGAGCAAAGTCGGTCGACGATTAACAACATGCCAAAGCCATTCTCAGAAGATTTACGCTGGAGAGCTGTTTGGCTGCGGTATTTTATCTTCCCATGCCCTTCGGTCTTAGCTTTGATGATATAACCTTTTTTGAACCCGACAACGTTTTTTCAATAGGTGTATAAGCAGCAGTAAGGCGGACTCGCGGAGCGTCGGCAACGCACCTGGAATTATGCGGGTATTACTGGGGCCTGGGACCCCCTTGCGCGATCCGGCGACAGCGGCGAGGAGCGCCTTACTGCTGCTGTGTTTGCGAAATCTATGATATATATATGCATGAATGTAAAGAGTT